AGCAGACGCAGCAGCGGCAGCAGCAGCAGCAACAAGGGTTTGCATGGGAGGATGTACGTTTTGCTTGAGCCCTGAGACGCCTGCACCGCTGCTGCTGCTGCTGCTTCTCTGCTGCTGCCAGTTCGTCTCCACCCGCTGCTGCTGTTGTGGCTTACTTGCTGCTGCTTCTGCTGCCTTATCCCTTGCTGCTGCTGCTGCTGCTGCTGCTGCTGTGCTGCAGCGGGTATGCAGCCAAGTGAACAGCGAGTCCAGGCTTAGTGCTGCTCTTGAAATTCTGCTGCCGCTGGGGCTGCTGCAGAAGTCGCTGCAGCAGCTGCGGCAGCAGCTGCCAGCAGTTTGCAGAGACTCAATGCGGCGCACTATTATCTTGCTGCTGGAGCAAAGGGGTGCGATGCAGCAGCAGCAGCAGCAGCAGCAGCAGCAGCAGCAGCAGCAGCAGCAGAAGCAGCAGCAGCAGCAAGGAGACGTGCAAGAAGCCGCTGCAACGCTGGATACTGCTGCAGAGACAGCAGCTTCGTCGCCGTTCGCGGCGGCGGTGCAGGGACCAGCAGCAGCAGCAGCAGACGCAGCAGCAGCAGCAGCAGCAGAGTCAGAGGCAGCGGCAGCAGCGGCAGAAGCAGCTCAAGCAGAGGGAGCAGCAGCAGCAGGAACTGCTGCTGCTGCTGCCGAGCAGCACGCCGACACCCCCGGACGCAACTCCGTTCATGAGGATCCTGAAAAGCTGGACTTTCAGCAGCAGCAGCAGCAGCAGCAGCAGCAGCAGCAGCAGCCGCAGCAGCAGCAGCAACCGAAGCAGCGAGTGCGTGCAGCGCAGCTGTCTGCTGCTTTGGGCTCCTTAAGTGCTGCTGATTTCTGCTGCCTCTTTCGGGACCTCTGCAGCCACGTGCTGTGCGTAGGTAAGAGCTGCTGCTGCTGCTGCTGTTGCTGCTGCTGCTGCTGCTGTTGCTGCTGCTGCTGCTGCTTCCATGCTTTTCGTTGGCTTCCGTCTCGGTTTGCTGCCAGCAGCCTCAGGTGGCAACACAGCATATGCAGTTTGCTGCTCAGCTGCTGCTTGAGTTGCTGCAGCAGAGGCTGCTGCAGCCGCAGCAGCAGCCGCTGCTTCTGCTGCAGCTGCTGTTGCTTGGCTGCCTGGAAGGGCTTTTGCCGCTGCAGCGTTGCTGGCACTACATTGCTGCTGCTGCTGCTGCTGCTGCTGCTGCTGCTGCTGCTGCTGCGTTCAGCTTGTCGGGTGGAATCCTGGGTATCTTTTGTGCTGCTGCGCGCTGCGGAATTCGGCACCTACCGTCTCTCCCTCCAGCAGCAGCAGCAGCAGCAGCAGCAGCAGCAGCAGCAGCAGCAACGGCGAGAGCAGCAGCAGCAGCTGCAGAATGAAGCAGATGCAGCAGCTGATTTGGCTGCTCTGGTCACTGAGGCGGACGGGCTGACCCGAAGTTGGCGTTTTGTTGCTGCAGCACTTGTTCGCGTGGCCGAGGTTTGCAATGCTGCTGCTGCTGCTGCTGCTGCTGTTGCTGCTGCTGCTGCTGCTGTTGCTGCTGCAGCTGTTGCTGCTGTGCCGCTGCGTCGCATGTGTTACGGCTGTGAGGGCTTTGAGCCCACGGCTGCAGCGTCGCTGCATCTGCTGCAGCAGCAGCTACCACAGCAGCAGCTGCTGCAGCAGCAGCAGCAGCAGCAGCAGCAGCTTCTGCTGCAGCAATAGCTGCTGCTGCAGCAGCAGCAGCTTCTGCTGCTGCAGCTGTGGAGCTGTGTGTCCTTGGTTTGCCTTCAGAGCTGCCTAGACACCCTGATGGCCAAGGTGGCCTCCGTGCTGCAGGCGCGAGGAACTCATGCTGCTGCTGCTGCTGCTGCTGCTGCTGCTGCTGCTGCTGGCGCCCCACACTTTGCGCAGCTGCTGCTGACAGCAGTCTCCGTAGGACTCTTGGGCCTGGGACTTGTCTTCTTTTTATTTCTTTTTTTTTATTTTAATTTCTTTTTTGTTTCTTTTTGTCTCCTTTTTGTCTTCTTTTTTTTTCTTTTTGTCTCTTTTTTTTCTTCTTTTGTCTTCTTTTTTGTTTATTTTCGATTTCCTTTTCGTCTTTTTTTAATTTTCTTTTTGTCTCTTTTTTGTCTCTTTTTAATCTTCTTTTTGCTTCTTTTTTATTCCCTTTTCTATTTCTTTTTTGTCTCTTTTTTATCTCCTTTTGATATCTTTTTTGTTTTCTTTTTGTTTCTTTTTTGTTTATTTTTGATCTCTTTTCCGTTTCTTTGTTAAGTTTTTGTTTCTTTTTTGTTTCTTTTTTATTTCTTTTTTGTCTCCTTTTAATCTCTTTTTAATCTCCTTTGTATTTCTCTTCTGTCCCTTTTTTGTTTTATTTTTATTTTCTTTTTCTCTCTTTTGTTTCCTTTTTTGTTTCCTTTTTTAGTCCTTTTTCTTTATTTTCTTTTTTATTCTTTTATTTTCTTTTTTATTTTCTTTTTTATTCTTTTTTATCTCCTTTTCATATTTGAGTTTTTTGGCCTTTTTTCAAAGCGATGTTGCAGTTGGCTGTTTTGCTGCTGCCCCCCGCTGCAGCTTCATTTGCTGCTGCTGCTGCTGCTTTTGCTGCTGCTGCTGCTGCTTTTGCTGCTGCTGCTGCTGCTCCTGCAGGCCATCGGGTGTCTGTACGCAGTGCAGCAGCGCCTGCGGACGCGCGTTGCTCAAATTTTGCTGCAGTCCCTCAACGTCACTGTCGTTTTGCTGCAGCAGCAGCAGCAGCAGCAGCAGCAGCAGCAAAGGAAAAGCTTGGTCTTCAGCCCCGATGGGAGCAGCAGCAAGAACCCAAGTGCTACGGCTGCTGCAGCAGCAGCAGCAGCTGCTGCTGCTGCTGCTTGGCAGCAACCCGTCTTTTTTGAAGACTACAGCGGTTAGTGAGGGAGGCAATCATTACAGCAGCAGCAGCTGCTGCAGCAGCAGCAGCTGCGGGGACAGCAGCAAGTGCAGCAACTAGAGCAGGTGCAGCAGCAACCAGTGCAGCAACTCAAGCAACTCCAGCAAGTGCAATGGCTGCAGCAGCTGCAGCAGCTGCAGCAGCAGCAGCAGCTGCAGCGGCTGCAGCAGCAGCAGGCCGGATGGGGCCCATAAGCTGTGATGTGCCTGTACCCTCGCCACTCGACCTCTTGCTGCTGCTGCTGCTGTTGCTGCTGCTGCTGCTGCTGTTTGCAGGCAGCAACAGCATGCTGCGCCTGCTGGCTTGCTGCAGCCCCAGCGCTGCATGCAGCAGACTGAAGAATCTTCGAGTTGATTTCATGTCTGCTGCTGCTGCTTCCTTTTACCCGCATCTCCAGTCCCAAAGCAGGCGTAGGCCCTAAACCCTAAACCCTAAACCCTAAACCCTAAACCCTAAACCCTCTATTCAGTGGCCCGGAGTGAGGCTTCTCAGTCTGATGTATGCGAGACGGAACTAGAATTCAAAGGTGAAGGGTTTAGGGTTATGGTTTAGGGTCTAGGGCTTAGGGTTTAGGGTTTGGAGTATAGGGCTTAGGGTTTAGGGTTTAGGGTTTAGGGTTTAGGGTTTAGGGTTTAGGGTTTGCGCAGGCATACTGGAGGCGACGCACGAGGCGAAAGTGCTTCAGGTAGATTTGCTGCTGGCGAAGGAGACGTGGGAGCGGCAGCAGCTTCAGCAGCAGCTCGTTGAGCCCCTCACTGAAGTGCTGCAGTTTGCTGCTCCTGCTGCAGCAGCAGCAGCAGACACAGCAGCGCCAGAAGCAGCAGCAGCAGCTGCTGCTGCTGCAGCAACAGTCTCATCGGAGGCAGCTGCAGCGGCGGGCTCGGTGCCCACTACAACAACTTCGCTTTCGCCAGCAGCAGCATCAACAGCAGCTGCAACAGCAGCAGCAGCACCAAAGTATCCAGCAGCAGCAGCAGCAGCAGCAGCGTACTCAGAAGCAGCAGCATATTCAGCAGCAGCAGCAGCAGCAGCAGCAGGCCCGGCAGCCAGGTCTGAGGGGCGTGGCGGCGATTGGGCACCGGCAGACGCAGCAGGCATTGCTGCTGCTCCCGCTGCTTCTGCTGCTGCTACTGCTGCTGCTGCTGCTGCTGCTGCTGCTGCTGCTGCTGCTCACTCGAAAGTCCCTGAAATCTGCATTGGGGCCAAAGGCCTGCAGCTCGAAGGTGAAGAATATGCTGTCGCCCCTTCTGCGCTGGTCACTCTTGCAGTAAGCCGTTGCTGCATGCTGCTGCTGCAGCAGCAGCAGCAGCAGCAGCTGCTGCTGCTGCTGTGGCTGCTGCCTCGGCCGTTGTCGTTGCTGCTAGTTCTACCGTTGTCTGTACTACTGCCGCTGCTGCTTCTGCCGCTGCTGCTGCTGCTGCTTCTGGCGTTGCTGCTGTTGCTGCTGGCGCAGTTGCTGCTGCTGCTGCTGAAGCTGCATAGGGCCTGTTGCTGGCACTGCTGTCGCGTCTTGTGTGTGCGCTGCGCTGCTGCTGCTGCTGCTGCTGCTGCTGCTGCTGCTGCTGCTGCGTGCGGCTGCAGCTGCTGCGGGACTACCTGAGTGTGGGGAGTTGGCTGCCGTCGGTGCAGTCTGCTGCAGTGACCTGCGTGTGCAACTTGCTGCTGCACTACTCCCGGGTGTCTGTACACCTCACGGTCGAAGGCGGCGCTGTGGGGCAGGGAAGGCTGCAGCGAATTACAGCAGCAGTTTTGGCTCGTGCTGCTCGTTCTTTCGACTGTGTCCTTTTCTTTCTCCACAGACTCTCCCTCAACCTCCAGCAGCAGCAGCAGCAGCAGCAGCAGCAGCAGCGGCAGCAGCAGCAGCAGCAGCAGCTGCAGCAGCAGCAGCAGCAGCAGCTGCAGCAGCAGCAGCAGCAGCAGCAGCAGCAGCAGCAGCGGCAGCAGCAGCAGCAGCAGCAAGCTGCTGCTGAAGAGGAGTGGGCACAGACGGAGAGGCCTCCCTTGGTGCTGCTGCAGCAGGCAGCAGCAGCGGCGCCTTCCGCAGCAGCAGCGCAGCAGCAGCAGCAAAAGCAGCAGCAGGATCTGCAGCACGCAGCC